TTTTATCATTTAGGAGAGGACTTTGACAGTTTAGGTGCAGAATCTTTCTAAACATATTGTTTGCCCGTCATTGGGGGATACACAGGCTACACTTCCTCTGCAAACAATCCTATGTAATCATCCATCACAGCAAGACGGTAACACAACCAACTTTATTCTCTCGAGGTTCATTGCTGTTGTTACTGTCACATCTTTCCTCTTAAAATGACTCAAACTAACGTACATGAAAGTGCAAATGTCCTTTCTTTTCCATAAACTGACACTTACAAAGAGAATTTTGCAAACAGACTATATGTATGCAAGAACATGTCAAGCATCATAACATGAAATTTTTAACAAGGCAAGACAGAAATTAATTTTTATAAATCTATTTTTTAAATGCATACATGCATAAAACAGTCAATTTCAAAGAGTTCTATATTTTTGTTAATACACCCTTAATTGTGTATTTAATACACAATTGAAAAACTAGCTTACAAATAATGACATTAAACCCTGCTTTTATTTTTGTTTTCTATTTTTGGGGAGGTGAAGGTGTTTTGCAGTCTTCTAAATGCCTGCGTGGATAATGGAGTGGCACGTGGTGCTGTTTACAGAAAGGCAGAGACGATGGTTTTAATTTATTTTAAATCTTTAGATTTCACTGGGCAAGCACTGCTGTCCTTGCTTGCTCTGACTGAATGAACACCACTGGTGCAATAGCTCACCCTTTTTGAGGGTCTGATATTGGGTTGGGATAGCAACTCAATATCAGACCCTCAATATTAGATTTCTAATTGAACTAAACTTACAGAGTTCATGGTCTCTGTTACTTTTTCTCCTTTGCTTCCTTTTCCTCTGTTCTTGATTCCAGTGACTAGACCACCAAATTATACACTTTTCTTTCTGTCTGAAATTTTTCTTCATTACTGGTGTCTTAATTGCCATCCTTAATGTTATCATTATTATTATTATTATTATTATTATTATTATTATTATTATTATTATTATTGAAGAAGATGGAAAAAGAATAACTAAATAAACTTTGTTACTACCCAGGGTTTATTTTTTGGGGCGGGGCTTCATGTGGATACTTTTAAGCACTGATGTTAGGGGTGCGGTTGCTTTGACAGGTCTTTTACATGCAGTTTATGTTATTTATTTGAGATGAGTATATTATATATGAATAACAAACACACTAATTGCAACTCACACAATATCTTTACATTATTATATTGTATCATCTGGCTGTAAAAACTCTAGCTGGCACAACATGACCTAACGGCGTATTATTTTTAACAGTTAATTGTCCTTGTGCTTTGCTTGTCACTGGGCAGGTTGTGTAACATGATTAGAATTGTAACACCAAAACAATGAACCGGAAGATGCAAAAACTCATTGTAAAGCTGAAAGAAACTGAATAACTGTTCAAAGTGTTTAGTTGGTTTAACTGTAGTGACAACCTTTCCTTTGCAGTTATATATTGGTGGTATATTTTTCATTAAAACAGCTTTAAATTAGAATCCAACTTGGGCGTCTACAGCAGGGGAAACAACCTGATGGCTCTTGTGTCTCTTGTCTCAATAGAAAATTGCTGCTAAAACACAGTGTGTCGCTGTGATGAAACATCCATATGTGATTTTAGAACATTTTCAAGAGGAGCAAGTTGCACCAATTCACCCTCAGAGGACAAACACACAAATAGAGTCATTATTCACAAGATTGTTTCATTTTACAAAGCAGAAAGATTATACTCAGAATGGATCAACATGATGATAACAGATGGCATTCTTGTTGTGGAAGGCAAGGTGAGATTAAAAAGAAAGACGGAGTAAGCAGGAGTAATACTGTGGCAGAGCTGCGCATTTCAAAACAACCGACCACTTTTCCTGCTGATTTACATCAAAAAACGACTCATCTGTCTACACTCTGTGATTTTCTCAAATGTGATGGCAGGAGTCATGGCAGGCCTTTTTCAGATGTGCAGAAAACTAACTTTGGCTATTGATTTGATAACTTCAACACCCCTCTGAGGCGATGCGTTTTTAAAGGACCATTGACACTACATGGAAGCTTAAATGACAGCAGAGCGACTGATTAAGCTCGGCTTGAACTGCGTTCTCCACAGAGATGTTCCAATTCAGGGAGATGTCTATTTACAGATATTTTAGGATGTGACAGAAAAAGTCTTATCTAAGAAGCTTTTACAATCAATGTAATACAGCTAGATTCACAATTTGTTGTACAAAGAGACACTTTTCATAGTTTTGGCCCTGTAAACTACCACAGTGGATTTTAAATCAATCAGTATGTAATGGAAGTGCAGACTTCCAGGTTTGATAATTACATTATTGCAGTGTTTATGTGCATTAACCATTTTTAAGAGGCTCAAAAGTAACTGGACAACTGAATGACTAGCAGTTGCATAGACATACGAGGCCTGTTCCCTTTTAATTTAATGACATAGCAGGAGTAATAAAGTTTATTCAAAGCATTGAATTTGTATTTTATAGCTTTTCACTGTAATTTTAAATATGACATCCATGCAAGTGAGAAGGGCCATCATCAGGCTGGAAAGAGGGATAGTAACAATCTAAACGTCAGTAAGACAAAGGAGCTGATAGTGGACTTCAGCACTAAGCAGGAGAGGAACTACCAGACCCCCGTCATCAACGAGTGCCCAGTGGAGAGAGTGGACAGCTTCAAATACCTCGGAGTTCACATCACGCAGGACCTGTCATGGTCCTGTCACATCAACACCGTGGTGAAAAAGGCCTGACAGCGTCTCTACCACCTCAGACGCTTGAGAGACTTCCAACTGCCCTCCAAGGTGCTCAGGAACTTTTACTCCTGCACCATAGAGAGCATCCTGGCGGGAAACATCTTAACCTGGTTCGGGAACAGCACCATGCAGGACAGACGAGCTCTACAGAGGGTTGTGCGGTCAGCTGAGCGCACCATCCGCTCCGAGCTCCCTGACCTGCACTCAATCTACAGCAGGCGGTGCTGGACCAAGGCCAGGAAGATGGTGAAGGACCTCAGCCATCCCAACAACAGACTGTTCTCTCTGTTGAGGTCAGGAAAGCGATTCCGCTCCCTGAAGACCAACACAGAGAGACTGAGGAGGAGCTTCTTCCCGCAGGCGATACGGTCTCTCAATCACACCACCACACAGTACTGACCCACACATATGGTTCTTACACACACACTGGACTTTCTGGACTTTGTTTTTGCACAACACTGGTCACTATATTCTTCATTTCCGGTTAATACTTGTACAGCTGCTGTTATTGTGCATATATTTATTTATATTTAGATTTCTTCATACATTCTTATATAGTTCTATATTGTGTATTTTGTTGTACAGTTATTTTATTTTCAACTTTAATTTATATATTTTATCTTATTCTTTCCCAGTTAAATTTACCCTTCATTCTAATTTGTGTTGTACAGTTATTTCATTTTTAACCTTAATTTATATTTTATTCCTTCCTAGTTAAATTTACCCTTTTTAATTTTTCATATTTATTTCCTATCTTATTCATAGCCTTTCCTTTTTTGTTTTCTTTAGGTCACGAGCAGTTGTCCAAGCATTTCACTACATATCGTACTGTGTATGACTGTGTACGTGACAAATAAAATTTGAATTTGAATTTGCTTCTATCATTAAAAGAAGTAATGCACCGGCCTATTAATGACTGAATTACTTCCATGGTTGAGAAAAAGAACTCAACTTCTAAACAAGTCATGAACACTGCCAGAGAGGTAAGCGTGTTATTGTCAAAGTCTACAATCATGAGATCAAATCATGGAAAAGGAGAGGAACAGTTCATGATCCAAAGCAAACCACATTATATGTCTAGCATGGTGGAGGCAGTGTTATTGCATAAGAAGAACAGGATCACTAGTGTTTATTGTTGATGTGACTGCTGACAGAAGTAGCAGGATAAAATCTCCAATTCTGCTCAAACTCAGAAATTAGATGTTCTGTCAATGTCTCAGTCTCAACAAATGCAAAGAGACCCACAAACAAGCAGCAACACAAGGTGGCTGTAGTAAAGACCTGGCAGAGCATCTCGATTTTGGAAATCCAGCATTCGGTCATGTCCATGGGGTCTGATTGAAAAGATATTCATCCAAGTATTTAAAACAGTCCTTACACTGAAACTCATGGTAGTCTGTCCAATTAGTTTTGAGCCTCTGAAAAAGGTGAACTTTAAAAATGACAGTTATTCCTGAACAGTAAATGTAACAATTTTTGTTGTTGTTGTTGATCATTTGTTTTAAAATCCACTGCACATCCTGTGCAAATCAATTCTGTCAACAGTCCCAGAGCAGCTGAATCAGCAAAAACAGCTGCAACACAATTTGAATATAATAAACATTATGAAAGCAGAAGTGTTGTACTGGATTAGATTTACATTAAAAAGTGTAAAAAGTGCTTTGAGTTTAAGGCTAAAATAAACTGCAAAAATCCAGCGAGCTAGTTCAGGCAGGCAACGTGAGCTGTGCTTCGTCATGAACACTAACATGCCTCATCTTCCAAACACCACCTCCCAGCTTTGGTGTTCGAGTTGAGCTGCAGAATCTCCAATCACGTGTCAATTCCACTGCTTCTTTTTTTTTCTCAACCCCACCGCCACCCCAACATCCACCTGTGCTCAGAGTCGGTTTTTTGTTGGGGGCAAGGGAAGGGCGACCAGACAGGAGGAGCTCCAGAGTTGTTGCTACTATAGGAAAATGCTGCCACCGCAAACAGGGAAGGCGATGCAGATAAGAGGAGAAAGAGACCTTCCTACACTTCTCTAAATGTATCTGTTATGCTAGGAGATTTTTTTATTATTATTATTATTATTATTATTATTATTATTATTATTATTTGCAAAAAATAAATTATAGATGACCTGGAATTGTCAGCTTGAAGAGTGTGGCGTTATCCTTAAATCCTTATCCTTATTATTATTTTAATATTGATTATTATTATATTTCACTTTCACACAAGTGTTGTGAGACTTCATGTTATCTTTCATATCAAAACAATTATAAAAAAAACAACTTACAGAACATATTTAGTTTTGTCCGATTTCCCTGTGGCTCCTCTGTTTCCCTCCGATTGCTGGTGTAAGATTAAAGAAACATTAATACAATGAAAGGAGGCTAACAGTCAGAATTCTGGCTGTGTGGCTACTCTTAAATATATCTAATTTTACAAATTACAAGTGAAATGTGTTGCGTAAATTACTTGCAGCCTCATCAGGAGGTTGTGGACTGTTCTGGGCATATACATTTGCACTTTAAAATGACCCCTAGCACTGCAGCTGTATTTTAAAAGTGTGGTTTGGGAAGCAGAGCAGGTTGTCTCCTACTGTACTCCTCCAGTCTGCATGTTAAAGCATCCTTGGGCAGGATACCAAACCTCAACTTCTTCCCAATGCATGTATCCGTGTGTGAGTGCATGAATGTTTCTTATGCTTGCACAGAGTGCTTGATTGGCTTGAATGAGGCTTGTAATGAAAAGTGCTTTGAGTGCTCAGTTAGAGCAGAAAAGTGCTATAGAACTACCAGTTCACTTACTCGAGGCAAAGTGGAGCACTAAGCTAAATGTTGTTGCAAGCATGGCAGTTATAACACTAACGTAAGTTTCACATGTGCCCTGCAGTACTGAACTTTTTTAGGCAGAGCTGCGTGTGAAAACGCAAATGTCCAACACATGGTGTTAAACCGACAGCTTCCTCTTACAGTCTGTGTTATGTCCGATTGTGCAAATGTTAGAATAGCATAGACAGTTATCTGTTAGGTAGGCTTCATCTGTCTGTGCTGCTTCCTGTGCACTCTATCCAGGAAGCTCCCTCAGCTAAAGCAGAGTACTTCTAGTAGTATGTGTGTGAATGTAAGAAAGGACATCTGTGAATGGTCTACTTCCCCTGACATTATCATGAGTGCAAACGCCATTTTACCATTTTAATTTAGAAGCAGAAAGAAGAGTCTGCAGGAATTTCCACACAAAAATTCTGCACTTCAGCTAGAGTGGTTTCACTGCAGTCTGCAAAGATAGTGAGTGTCTGCACCGAATTCCACTTTTCCACAGCAAACAGTTGTTAAAACATTTCATCTCTAGACACAAATGGTAACATCATGGTGACACTAGAAGAAAAATCTTTAAAGGTACGTGAAAAATTATTTTTTTTATGTAGGTTGTTTAACAGAAATGAGAATTTTGTAATCATAAATATACACTGATCATGTAATCTGGTCTTCCAACCAACTGATGCATTCTCATAAATTTAAAAACATAGAAGTAGCTGCCAGGTCATGGAGGCTGCCATGTTGAATATAGTAGCCAGGATGAGGATTTCCATTCTGCATAATCATGTTTTATGTACATGTTAAGAAACCAGTCACACGCAGTACATAAATAATTAACTGGTAAAGTGTATTTAGTGTACCTTTATATGTTAGTTTTAATTCTGAGGTCACAAAAAGTTATTTCAAACTATATATGACCATTATCTATCTTATCTATCTATCGAGCTAAAGTTGTAACCCTCCCATTTCGGGACAGCTGACAACCAGCTGGCTAAACAACAACATCTGGTTATAAGCTAATATTATGCCAGCTAATGTTATGCCTCCGATAAACAGTTTGATTCTAATATCATATTAATTTATTAACTAAGAGTCCAACCTTGTTAAATCCACTTCAAAGAAAGTTGCCGGCTAACAGCAAACAACACCAGCAAAGTTCAGGCTATCACCAACAATTCACCTCACTGTCATCTGACAGACGTTTGCTTTACGGACTCATCTACATAGGCCATCAGGAGGCCATCAGTCCAATAGATGTGGACAGATCCTGACAGGTGAAGTAAACAGCAGACTCACAGTCTAGGCTGTCATGAACCCAAGTTGTTTCGTCCTACAGCGGCCACTGTAGCTCGGATTGTGCATTTGAATAAGTAGGGGTAAGAAAACAGAATTGAGTTGACTGCAATCTGCAATTACTGACCTCTACTGGTGACATTTAACACACTTTACCTTTAACATTTTGTGGGATCCACGAATGTTTGTATGAAATTCTGTGCCTGTTTATTCAGAAGAGATAGGGACACAGTTTTAGAAAACATCATATAAAAAAAAAAAATCATAAAATCTCCAAAGTCCAGAAAGGGGACTGCCATGTTTAAGGAGCTGCCATAACACCAGGTGCCCCTCATGATCCAACCCCAAAGAGCTTTGTGTCTCTTCCCAGAGACCTGATAGGTGAATGTGTAAGCCACTACACTGTGGAGCCTTTCAGTCACTGTCACATACAGATGGTTCAAAGACACGTGGCTTTAGTTACACAACCATAGTTTATTACTGATGTCATCACTTACACAGACAACGGAAGTGTCAGCGATACCTACTAAAAGGTGATCAGAAAATCATACTTGAGTAACTAGTTGAAAACAGCTTCAGGACCGCTGCTGCTGTCAGATGCTGTTTAATTTACACTAAGCTCTTGTCAAAAATTCGAACTCCCGAGCCATATTCCAAAAAAGATTAATACTAATAATAATAATGATAATAATAAACAATATATTTTAAACTGATAAAAGTGGCTTGAAATGACAGGATGATTTTCAGAGGACCTTCAGACCACACATGGTTTCCTCTTGCTGTCTGGTAGGTTTGACCAGTTGGTGCCATTTTTTTTTAAAGTGCTGGTTTCATGTAACATGTCCTTGTTTTAGCGTTTGGGTTGAATTCCTCTTGATTGTGGCTGTGTATCTCTATGAAAACCACCCCATTTAAATATATTTAACCCATATTAAACTTTTCAAAGTACACTCTGTTAGAGAAGAAAGCCACGATGCATTTTGTGTTCGATATTTGCAATGCTTATACGACATACTGACCTGCTGTTCACCCTGGACAACATGTGATGCAAAAAAAACCTGTGAACGAGGTATTACTCTATAAATAACATATAGGCAAAGTTCACCATTGTATTCTACTACAAGCAGCACAATGTCAGATTAAATCCTGTTGTCCGGTAAGGCTAGTCATACGGAGTCCTTTGAAAAGGAACGCTGAATGATCAGTACTTTTAATGGGATCTGCTCCTCTTTTTGATGTCCATAGAGTTCAGGAAGAAGCATTCAAAGTTTTCCAAAGTTTAACTGCACTCCAGAAGAAAGGATGTCTCTATTTACAGAAAGGTCCTTTGCATTACTCTCTTCTCCTTTGATGATCCCGCGGGCCAGAACTGTTGGTTCAACCTAAATCAGAAGAGAAACCTAATGAAACAAAGTCAGAGCCAGGACAGCTGCAGAATCATCAAAACATCACCTATGAAAGAGTTACAGAACATAACATTATTTTTTATATATATATAGACATACAGTATATAACTGTCTGAGGTCACAAGAGGGAAAAAAATGGAACTGCACAGAACTGAAAAGCATAGCCACCAGTTATAAAACTAAACTTTATCAACCGAACGCTCCCGCCTACGCTGATTGACATGTCAAAGATGTTGGCAAAGCAACAACAGAATCAGATGCATTATTCAAATCTCGAAGCCCTGATTTTTCCATTCTTGCTGCTTACTTTTGATGTTTGACACTGTGAGGAAACAGATTTCATCTTCACAAGAAAAATGTTTAAAATGGTCTGAAAGCCCCACAAGAACATCGCTGTGTAGGTTGATTCTGTTCATCTGGAGAAATACTACGTCCAGATGCATCAAGACATTGCTGTGTAGCTATGACATAACCTGTTATATGATTTATAGGACTAGAACCCTGGCACATTCAGCACCATCCAAGTAACAGCCTCCAGGGTGGAAGTGCCAAAAATTGTAGTACCTACATTGGCCACTTGAGGCAGGCTCTAAAAATGACCCAATCATCATGATTGCTGAACTTGCTAAATGGACACAAGCAAAACATTTTTTTCAAACCTGACAGAAGCTGCTTTTTAACATAGCAACAAAACAGAGAGAAAGCACGAAGCTTAACAAGCAAGCACAATGCAAACTGCATCTAGACTCAAGAGCAGCAGGGCTGTGTTCTCTATGACGAATCATGCTTCTCCGTCTGGCAATCTGATGGACGAGTCTGGGTTTGGTGGTTGCCAGTCGAATGACCGTTGTGTGACTGCATTGTGCCAAGTGTAAAGTTTGGTGGAGGGGGATTATGGTGTGGGGTTGTTTTTCAGGAGTTGGGCTCGGCCCTTTAGTTCCAGTGAAACAAACTCCTAATGCTTCAGGAACAGTTTGGGGATGGCCCCTTCCTGTTCCAACATGACTGTGCACCAGTGCACAAAACAATGTCTCCATAAACACATGGATAATCCAGGGGTCTGTACAATTAAGGTTGCAACAAGAGACATAAATGGTGAAAAAAGAATTAAACTAACGGTAAATATTGTTTATCAGCATGATGTTATGTCCTTTTGAAATGGCCATCGAAAGGCAAATGTGGATGGACATGTGCTCAAGTGAATTGGGTGGATACCAGTGGCTGAAGCACCTAGTAACTCTTACCACCAAAGTAGATACCCTCAGAAAGAAATCATGCCTGGTTTTCAAAGTAAGAATGGTAACAGTAGCTTTCCACTGCTTCAGAGAGTGGGATTGTTTCTTCTAGACTGGAAAGTTGTTGATGCTAATGTTTGCCATGTGCTAACCATCTAGCTGGGTTTCTGCAAGAAAACTTGTGAGACTCAGTGACTGAGATCAGCAAGGTCGGGCGAAACATTGCAGCTGAATAATATGGCGACATCCCGTTGCTATAGCTCTAATTGTGTGTCACAGACAGAATAGGTGCCAAGGATTAGGTAGCCGCTCTCCACTTCTGTAAAAACACAGTGTGTGAGACAGAAAGGAGTGGGGAGTTTATCTTCCACCTCCAGCTAGAGAACACAGTCACATTTAATTGCATTCACCTGTAGCGATGGATGATTCAGCTTAAGGTAATTAATTAGTGGGCATAAGTGGACAGATATCAGCTAAACAGGTAAAATGCTTTAAGTATTTACATTTTCTTTTAGTCCTGTTTCCTTTATTAACTTCTTTGTTAGTTTTTTTTTTTTAGCTTTTTTTTGTGTAATTAGTTTAAAAATAGGCCAATAAAATGCTTAACAGTAGCCTTATATTAAAAATTAGAAATTATCTTTAAAATATTACCACTGCTTAGGCTGAGCAGTAGTCAAACAATAATAATGCAATCATGTGATAGCTATCTACTATCTAACTGTTAACTGGGGAGTGTCGGACCATCTATAAATGAATTATATTAAGTCTATCTAGTGCTTAGGTCACAGGTTTGGAGCTTATTCCACATGCTATAGCGCAAGAGGTGGGTCAAAACGACCCCAACCTCTCACATCCACATCTAAAGCTAATTCACAGCCAACAATTAACCCAACAAATATTTCTATGGACTTTTTTCAAGGCTTTTTGTCAATTTTTGTCAAACTCCGCTTCAGGTCCCAAAGTCAAATGAACACTGTAGCATCACTGAGAGTTAAAAACTGTCTAAATTCTTTCATCTGTAATAAAATGATCAGCGTTGCTGCTTTACCAGGTGTAACAATTAAGTTTAACATCCAGAGTTAGAAGTTAGCAGGAAGTTAGCTCGCTAGTTTCCACCTAAACATGACATAGCATGTTCTGACGGAGAGATTTCTGAAAAATTCAATCGTACAGCTCTGCTGCGTGAAGACAGAAAACTAAACAGCAGTGACGTTTCTAGGTTTACTGAAGTCGGGCTAGCTGGTATATAATGATGTGTTACATGGTGGCTAGCTACCATGTACAGCTACATAATTACATGGTGAGGTTTTGAAAACTGAGCTTTAAAATGAACAGTGGTAATAAAAAGCGAGAGAGGCCGGCAGTGATCACTGAATGTTTTTAGGGGCTTGTTCAGATTGAATAGATTAAGAAAGAAAACATTAAAAATGTTAAAAGCACAACAGCCTTAATTAACACAGAGTAATTTGGACTCTGAAGCAGGGTTCATGCTTCATCACTTAAAGTTGACCTTGAAGACCATGATGGATGTAAGGTAAAATTTAGTAGTAGTTTTGCCTAACATGACCCCCTTCTACACCCCTCAGAATTTATTCAAAATTTTTCAGGCTATCATGTTTACATACAGAATGACAGGCATGCAAATCCTACCAAAAACATAACCTCCTTGGTGGAGGTAATAACATTTGGTCTAAAATCCCTTTACCTACTTGTGCTATGAAATGTGAAAACTCTTTAAATTATTCCTGTACAATAAATGAGCATAAGGTCTGTGTGCTTTTTATGCATTTACTATATAATGAAAGATTAAACTGGTAGGACTAAAAAACTGGTCTGTATAGAGCCAGAGATTTTCAAGGCTATATGAGAGCTACAATATAATCACCACAACATTCAAACTGAGTGTAGTGCACACTGGACCAAGTTGGCTGGTATTCCCCTTTCATGAAGAAGAGCAAGCATTTAACATAACATTAGATGTAGTGGTGGTGTAGTGGGCAGTATGGTGGTTAGCACTGTTGCAGCAAGAAGGTCCTGAGTTCAATTCCACCATCAGGCCGGGGTCTATCTGTGTGGAGTTTCCATGTTCTCCCCGTGTTTGCGTGGGTTCCCTCCCGGTACTCCGGTTTCCTCCCACCGTCCAAAGACATGTAGTTTGTGGGGATAGGTTAATTGATTAATCCAAATTGCCCATAGGAGTGAATGTGAGTGTGAATGGTTGTCTGTCTCTGTGTGTTAGCCCTGCGACAGACTGGTGACCTGTGCAGGGTGTACCCCGCCTCTTGCTCTATGACAGCTGGGATAGGCTCCAGCAACCCTGAGAAGCGGATGGATGAGATGTAGTGTTATATAAAAATACTGGATACTTGCTGCAGTTGTTAGTAGCAGTTGGCAGCCACTTCTGCCAGTGGTTCAAAACTCTGTGCAGCAACTCCTGCTGATGTGAAACACATCTGGAGCTCTTTCAGATTAGTCTTCTTCCTGTTCCTAAAAACTAACAGCCTTTTGTATCTGCATAAATTGTTATCACAGTGCTGTACATACAGTGCAACATGAGGAAATAAGATGCTGGTGGGTTGTTTCCGAGTTCTCCGCTGTGACATACTGCAAAGACCTCCATTCTCCTTGAGATTAAATTGCCTGTCATGAAGCTCGGCAGCTGACTGGCAGCTCCTCTGCTCCTCTAAAAGTACATTCTGGAAAAGACTCGAGGAGCCTAGCATAACAACCTTCATAACGACGTCCCCTATCAATTCCAACCGCCTGTCAGGCACCACGTAGGTTTGACGAACTGAAGGAAGCCATTGGCGGACTTGTAAGGCCCCCATTATTGATGCTGAACTTCTGACAGGAAACAGACAGCTCTGACAGCCTGGTTAGATTAATTCACAAATGGTCTGTTTGATGAAGAATTGGGCAGAGCAGCATGGCGATGCATAGTTTTATTTTAATCATCCACAATTATGCAGGAAAGGAAAACAATCCAAGAACCATCAGGCCACCACTTGACAAGAAAACCAGCATAATCACATCAAGCAGAGAGTGAAGAGTTTCCATAAGTTCAGGTGGTTGCACCACTTTGCTGGTCGCTGAACAAGCTTGAGATAAATTCTTCCCTCTTTTTTATAGAGCCATTTATATTCAGGGCTGTCATTGTGATTAATGTGGTACTAATTTGAGAATAATTTCAGGCTGAAATGACAAAGAGCAAAGTCATTTCTTGTCAGGAGAGAAACTGTCTTCAGAGATGGATCTACGCTGCGTTTCAACTCAGGAGGTGGATCATTACCAGGATTTGAGTGTCTCAAACACCGCCGAAAATACTAAGAGGAAAAACCAAGTCTTCCCTGAGTATTGTGTTAATTTAATTGGTGGCTGGCAAGTGCTAATTTAACTGGCAAAAGCTTCATTTCTATTCAGCTCATGAAGAAAGGCTGGCTCAAAGTCTTAACACAGCAGGTACAGGGCTCATGTTTGTGTCATTTAGCTGTGTAATTGGAACACTGCAGTGTCCTTTTCTGCAATATGTTTTGTGTTCTAACTACCATGACCGGGCTTTTCGCAGGATGGCCATTTTAAAGATGAACAGGGAGTGATTTTAATGTGTGAATCAGCCTGTAAAATCAGCAGAAACTGAAAGTGGTGGCACCACAGAGCCACCTTTCTCCAAATTAAGTTTCACGCTCTGGACTATTGGGCAATTTCTGCCACAAATCAAAACCTGTAGTCACTGTTCTTCTGGGAAATTTATAGGTGTGGTGCTAGTCTGCGCTTATTTAAATGGTAGAAGCATAGCAGATTAGTATCAAGGATGTAGCAGGGTGGGAGAAGAAGAAAACTTTCAGTATTCACTTTTCAAGGTGTTAATGACATTAAAACCTGGATTGCAACACAGGTAAGGAAAAAACAGGCTCTTATCAGGGCGGGAGGATTGTACCTCAGGGTGGGCTCTGTTTGTATCCAACTCTGTGCAGCTGATGTCTTTAAAAATCTTGTTGTCCTCTTAAAAATTTACATTTCAATTTTGAAGCAGCAATATTTAAAAAACAGAAAAAGGGTTAGGATGGCTTGCATTTTCAGCCACAGCTAAAAAAAAAAAGTTGCATAGTTAAAAGTGTTAAAGCACAAAAATGATGAGCTCTTTTCAAAACAGTGTTTGCAGCTAACCAAAGATCAGTGAGTGAAAACAAGTATTGATCTGCAGCTCAGCTCTCACAGTTACATTGTTTGCTTTGTAGTTATTGGTCCCGCTAGTTATTATTATCATTCCTTACAAAATGATGTAGCTCAGGGTTTTAAGATTTCAAGGACTCGGGGGTGACGTTCATGACTGTCATAGCAATTTTTCACGCTCTGAAATGTAATGGCTCTGAAATCTAAGCAGGCTGTGCCTCGAAGTTTCACTTAAAAAAAAAACATCACTTTATCTCAGTGGCAGCATAGCAATGGAAATATCAGCATATCAGTTAGTTTTAGACATTCCTGTTTATTACGTTTGCTAAATTCAAACAAAACAAGCTATTGATCCAGTACTGAAGACACGATTCACTGTGTTTTACTCTTTAACATAGTCAGATCCACAGGCAAAAACAAATAGGCTCAAGCACTCTGACAATATTATGGTATATGCCTGGTATATGAGGATATTTAGAAATCCCCAAATCATTTGAAATACCATCAAAACTACAGACCCTCTGCTTTCTATTAAGGTCATGTGATGTATTGTAGTGTAGTCTGCTTCAAAGCATGCAGCTTTTTAGCACCAGCAGCTGAGACAGAAAGATGGTGACTGTGAGAGACCGAGGGCAATGCTGAGTGATCAGTTTAAAGAAATGTCTCTGCCTCTCTCTGTATGGGAGCATTAGTTATTTCCTGATGATAAAGGTGAGCTAGCTAATATATTCCCACTTTTAATTTCTTCCAATTAAAAGAGCAGTTTAGAGCCATGAGATTCTCCCAGAAGAATGCAAGGCAAAGGGCGCTTTTATTATACCAGAAAAAGCTCTTTCCAGTGCAAATGACTATGTCGAGTCATGAAAAAGAAAGTTTTCACATGACTGTGTGCAGTCCTGTAAAAAACTAAGTCCTCCCTATCATTTAGCAGCTTGTAGAACCACCTTTAGCAGTAATAGCTTGAAGTAACTGTTTCCTGTATGGTTTCATGAGCCTCTCACATCATTGTGGGAGGCTCTTCTTTACAATGTTGCTTCATTTCATTGAGGTTTGCATCCATTCATTTATGTACAACTCTCTGAAGGTTCCACCACAGCATTTCAGTCAGTTTTAGCCAAGCTCTACTCACATTTTGCTCTAAAATATTTTGGTATACAGAGCAGAACATGGCCCATTAAATCACAGCAAGCTGTCCAAGACAACGAGCACAAATCATAACCCCGCCACCACCGTGCTCGATAGTTCATATGAGGTGTTTGTGCTGATATGCAGTGTTTGGTTTACACCAGATGTGCCGCTGTGCATTATGGGCAAACAGCTGCACTTTGGTCTCGTCTGTTCAAAGGACATTGATGCAGAGGTCTTGTGGTTTGTTCAAATATACGCTGTGCTGCCATGTTCTTTTTAGAGACAAGAGGCTTTCTCCTGGCAACACTTCCAAACAAGCCATGCTCATTAAGTCTTTTCCTAATTGTACTGTCATTAAATAAACCTTTAATATGCTAACTCAGAGTCTGAGATGTTGCTGTTTCTCTAAACACTGCACAGTCTGACTTTGGTGTGAATTTGCTGGTGTGTCCACTCCTGGAACGATTGGAGCATTCACATCCACGTTAATAGACCAACAAGGTACCAAATATGGTTCTGTTATAGAGGTCCTCACACTTGCAGATGATCAATTAATCAAGTGCATTTAATTAACATCACCTGGCTGGTACTTGTACTCTTAATTCCTATGGAAGCAGTAAAGGTGGACTTTTTCCCCCCAACTTTATCAAATCCTGCAGGTAACATGGCACTATTCTCCATATGCACATCCACTGAACAACAGAGCAAAGAGATGGTGTCCTACTTCTACCCTGAGCTGAAAGTAATGTAGTCTATACCTTAAGAAGAGAAGTGAATTACCATTAACTCAATCCATAAATGAGTGATCATAAGCAGACGGATGATAGATGAACAAATAAAGGAGTCTAAAAGTACTGTACAATAACATTTGCCTGAGCATATCCTAGGAGCAATCCAGAAGGTGTTTATTTCTCTTTCTTTTACTTTCTCTGCCATTTTTCTACAATAACTTACAATCAGTGTCATTTGGTAGATTACATGACAAAAGTCCTACAACGACTTCAAGAACAAAACACAAATCTCCCAGAGTAATGATTCTCCTCAGCGTGAGATGCTGTAGATTTTTTCATGTGTTCAAATTGAATCGTGAATCGAGTATGTGGAGGATGAGCAGAGGTTTAAAAATATAAAATTATAAGAGAACTATAAACAGTGTAATAAAAAAGCGGCACTAGCCCACATTAGAGTTTTTTTCCTCTCATCCCTGCGGTATAACGCATCGCAGACAGCGCAGGTTACTGCTGTCACCTTTGAGGATGTCTGTGTTTATCTGTATAAAAGATACAGTTTAAACTGTTACCTCTTGCTGCCATTTGGGGCTCTAAATGTGCAAAAGTCATTGTTGCGTCTCAGCATATTTACATGTCAGACACTGTTTTTCTTGCTGAGACGTGCTCCAAACCGACTCTATTCCCCACTGGGTTCCGAGCTTTGTGGTAGCCCGTCGCTGCGTGGTTTATATTTTGAACTCTCGAGGTGCTTCTGGGGTGCATTCGATGCATTTATGATACAACCATACAGGTCAGAATAGCTGAGTTCCTAGTTTATGTTGTGCTGTTTTCCCGAAAAGCTAAGCAAAGGTGAAGAAGAAAGCGTGACCCCCCGCTGCTTTAAGCAGCCTGCAGAAAGATCTGAAACTTAAGAAACTTGTTTCTCTGACTGAGTTCAAAGGTGTGCAAGATAAATCCGCTGGGAAATGCTGATGCTTTGAACAGGTTGTTGTTGTGTGTTTGGATCATAAACCTCTTCTCATTCAATTCTCTAGTGTGGTTACGTTACTGGGAGAGATGTACTTAATAATATAATTTGACTATAACGTAAAAATGAGCCATCTTTGAAAATTCTTTATGTTCAAAATGAAAGTGAGGATTCTAATGAATTGAGACAAGTAAATGTTTGAAACATCAAATATAATAAGGAGAACAATAACAGATTTATCACCTGGACGCCGCTGTGAAGCATCTGACGTTACCAAAGCTGGTCTCTGTCAGCAGAAATCTGTCAAACAACAAAAGAAAATACAGTCACCACGTGATAATTACCTCAATCTGTTCCCAGATATCACTCATCTCAGAAGCCTGGACCACTAAAAGCAAAAAATGATTACAAAGATGTATGTATATATATATATATATATATATATATAATATAAAATAATCCCATTTTGAGGTCTCGACAAATCCCTTAATCAATAGCCCCAGGCTCCAGGCTCCCGGCTCCCGGCAGGTGTGGTGCAGGCAGTTTAAATAATTAAGTACATGGAGAGAGGCAGAACTGAAGTCTACGGGTCATCATAACACAGTGAAGGATATGGGCATCACGTTACAACGTTAAAAGCAGGTAATTGGAGTGAGTAATTGGCCAGTTTGGGTGCTTGAAGTGGCCTGAAAGTGCTAAGGAGACATGGCAGCCCATTGATTACAGGCCCCAGGGGGTCCAAGCACCGACTGCAAACATCAGTTTTTAGGTAAAGGCAGAAGAGATGACGGTAATAGAAGCCGCAGCCTGTTGACCTTGTAGAGCTGAAGTGGGTTAGGTCAGATTCAACAGGTTTGGATGTGGCACCAGTGAAGACTTGTGGGTTAACCTTACCTTAGTGGTTTTGATCTTGTTTCCTGTAGCACAGCTCCAACCTTTCAGATCAGGAAGAACTTTGCATTCCTCCCCATCAAGGCACGGATGCATCTGACACCACCACTTCTGTTCCACTATTGATGCTAACAAAAAGACATAAAGGTCAAAGAACAAATAGGTGGAAATATCTTTGTTCACAGTATTATGGTTAGGAAATACTGATAAAGGACTAGACTGTCATGCTTATTTCTTTTTTTCACTTTTGAATGATAAAGTTGGTTTAGCTGCTAATCCAGAGCTAATTTCACATTTCACTGACATTGTGTCCCTGCAGATTTGCTAACTTAGCATACTGTTTTAAAAAAAAAAAAAGAGTAGTTAATATATTTATAGGTGGATATAATCAACAATCCCACTAAAAGTCAAACACAAAGGCAAGGCAAGGCAGGTTTATTTGTATAGCACAATTCAACAACAAGGTGATTCAAAGTAACAAATAACCAGGAACAAGATGGCTGTAATGGATTATGAGTGTAAACTCTTCTCTTAATTTATTTTGCATTTATAAAGATTTGCCACTGCACACACTCTTCAGATGTTCATGATTGGTTGTCTTTCTGTTGACAAAGACCTCAGTCACACACAGACCTGTTGGGCCATTTGTCAATCACTAGCTTGCAGTGGTTTTGTTGATTAGTCAGACAGTTGGTTTAACATGTCAAAATAAGGTAAAAAAAAATATGCTTGTAATAAATCCACGGCAGACTCGCCACATTTCCATCATTTTCAGCGTACTTTATTATTATTTCACACACTCAGCTGCAGCTCTCCCGCTGCCAGCTGCACACATCACCCACAACAACCACACACTCAGGACCCAGTACTATTTATGCAGGGCGGTGTGATGAGCTGCATCGGCTTCTCCTGCAGCCGTGTCACAAACATGTCTGCCACAATGTACTCGAAAACCTAAAGTAGGTGATTCTTTGTTGAATATTGCTAACTAATAAAGAAGAAAACCATGTTTACCATCACACATTTAGAATTCATAAATGTTTTGTTTTTATATTAAAAGTCATTTGCATTTTATTTTGCAATTTCATTTCGACACCGTTTTTGTTTAGGTCTCAAGCACATTTCCACACAACGTTATGAGCCTGAGATGAAGGTTCCCATCGGATATAAATCAAATCATCATACCTGTCTCTCAGCAAGCCATGTCACCTTCCGACAGCTGTCTTAAATGATGTAAGATTTGCTTTTTGACTGGCAACACTCACCTCTATTTCAGGTATTCAAACAATCTTGTGACAAATCTGATCCACGTGTAAGGGTGGGACGGGAACTACGAACAGATGTGACTTCAGTCATGTAAATGGAAATCACTGAGTTGCATTGAGAACACCAACTCATCTGCCTCTGCAACAGTGAGCATTAAACCGCTAATGCTGCGATCTACAAGACATTATTTAAATTTGGCTTATTACAGAGGTCATTATCCACGTTCCACAACCCCCTCCACTGCTGTTAGTGTACTTCCTAATGAAGAGAATGGGTATTATAATCCACATATACCGCTGGAGCCTCACTCCATTAAATTGCAGAGAATGGAGAAGTTATGACATGAGTGAATCAATTTGAATTACACAGCTGGGGTTATGGCAGCAGTGTGGTGTAAAAAGTGCATCAGGTCAACTGCAAGCAGATGGTGGTTGTGTAACAGCAGCTATTAAAAAGCCACAAAGGTTTCTCATGAAATGAAATGGGAGTATTGATGAACAAACATACCAAAAGTCTATGGGATACATCTCACTTAACAGGTAATGATGCCGTGAAGGCACGAGGGCAGCTCAGAGTGAAAACATCTGGGAAAAAGAATTAAAGTTATGCTTTATTTTTCCTTGATTGTTTTAGTGTAGCCATAAAAATGCCTTTGAATCAATGCACTGACCTTGGGTTTATACTCATAAATGATCACACTGGAGACACGCAGATCTGACTTCAAATCCTTTAATTTTCACAAAAATCGAGTGCGCCTTCTAATCCGGTGCGTCTTTTGTATGAATTCTGGATGTGATTACTGATCTCGAACTGCTTTTATGATGTACACGGCGCTCAAAATCTGTCAAATGTTTTAGTACGACTTTGGTAAGATACGAAGCTGCACCGCTTGATGGATTGTCGGAGCACTACGGCTACCATAGTCAGGAGCCTCGCGGAGTAATCTGGGTCCAAAACTGGCAACACAGTGAACACCAGCAAGCACTGCAGACACTGCAAAGCCTTGATAATCGCCCATTATCAGATTATCAAGGCAAAGATGTAAAAGCCTGTTTTGTTAAGTGGCTATACAACAATATGGTAGTACAAAATCCATTCAGTAAAGTTTTTGGGTATCTTCTGTAGCTGCCTCTCTAAAATTACACCTTCAGATCGCTTCATGTTTTCTCAGATGTCTGCAGGTTCATTTATCTTCATATAAAGTGGAGATTGTCTCACACTGAGTGCAGCTAAAGGTAATCCCTGGTTGAGGAAGAAAGAATAATTAAAAGGTTAAGTGCTGATCATTCTTCTCTGAGATCACCCATGGAGCTTTAAACTGAGGCCAGTGGCTCACAGCTCTAATTTGCAGAAAATGTCAATACTAAAATGTCAAGGAATAGGTCAAACACGACTGGGTCCAGAGTTTAGCCAGAAATCCGTGCTTTTCAAACCAAAGCGAAGCAGCCACTTCAGCTGACACATTAGCATGCTAAGAGACCTTCTGGGTCATCGACTTTACAGTCTGCATTGGACAGCGTCACATTCATTTATCAGTCACTTTAAAAACCCTTCAGGAGAGTCTCTGCAAAGCCCTGGGGTTTCATCAGGACACCTCAAACTGTGAGAATATTTCAATGAGTTTTAATTACACGTTCATTGTGTATTCCACAGGATGTATCAAGCACAGAAGCAGTTACAAAGTGTTTTGAGGATTTTGAGCTTTAGTTGAATAAAACGAGTCATAACTATGCCATCTTAGGCGTTGGGAAGCTGATATAACTGTGTTTCTGTTTTCTTCATTTTATAAATGGACTACAAAAACAGAACAATGTCTAAAACGTATTGAAAAAAGGGGATATGTGTTGGTTCATTTGTCTATGCTGTGACTGATAAGAAATTGTACTCTTTTAGCATATTCCTTCAATAGTAGACTTGGTACTGTATGTACTGGCATTTATCACTGACCTCAGCAAGTCTCCCTCAAAATCTGTGGGATGGAGTATCAGCAAAAAAAAAAAAAAAAAAAAAAAAGGTGAACACTGCCAATGAAATATTCGGTTACTGGAACATACCATCTACGCACGATGGGGCAGCTCTGGTGGTGCCTGCCACTTGTCCGGGAAAGCAGGAGCACTTCACAGTTTGCGACCGCTCCTCAATTTTGTTCTTGTTGCAGCAGCGGTGCAACGCCACCACCTCGCAGGTGCCAGTTCGAACATGGTGGGCTGCTGGGGAAATGATAGAAAAAGTCAGTGCTCATTGAATGATTCACTGTAGTTTGAACACTCATTTGAAGCTGCACTACTGGCCTTGGATTGAATCCCAAGATAATATCTCTCTTTGGTCTTTCATCTGTGGGAACGATTAGCCTGAAAGCAAAAAGGCCACTAATTTCCTTAAAAGAGCTCATTTATCACAGGCTTCTCTCGTTATGTGAACAGTACCAGTTTATAAATTTGTATGATTCACAAGTGACAGCTTTAACAAGAAGCAAAGGCCAACATATGCTATATAATTTGCATATCATATAGTGACCCCAGATTCGGCTTTCTAAGGCAGGCTTTCTGCTTTGTGAAGTAACCCTAATGTGTTAGGCTCCAGTTAAACAGTTACATTTCAGTTCATATATATCTATATATATATATATATATATATGTATGTATATATGTATATATGTATATATGTGTATATATATCTATATATCTATATAGATATATAGATATATAGATATATAGATATATATTACTATCAAATATATAGGATTTAAGATCTTAGAAGACCACTGAAATTGTTATTGTTCTCCTTACTGCTGTGTTTTTCAGATTGGCTAATCAGCAGGGTATTAGCTCTAGGTTAGCTGACCTGTATGTAGGTTTGGCTGTTGCTTCTTCTATTCACTCAACCAGTTTCTAGGAAAAAGTATTTTAATGAGGTGGCATCTTTCTTTGGTGTCAGTTTTTCAACAGCTGTGAGTGAATCACTGGCAGCCCCGGTGTCTGGTTTAGTAGAGAAGGGGATTGTTAACTTGCTAGCATTTATCAAATATCCTAGCTTGGCAGGGGCTGACGTGGTGGCTATACTAGACGTGTTTCCCTATTGTCAGGGTAGACTATAGTACCGCCTGCTTCTGCACCTGTTGTACAGGTACTAACTGAGAACAGGCCGATGACACGCCCCCACTTTGACTCACTTTCTGCAGTCTTCGCTTGGCTATGGCTAATGCTAGGTTGATGTTGTCTAGCATGCTTCCAGCTGAAGAGGGAGGAGTGTGATAGGGAAGAAAGAGTTGGAGTTGCAGAGGTGAAGTTGAAATAACGGCACCTGGAACCCCAGCAATGTTCTTTGTGTGGCTCCCGCTGCTCTGCAGTCTAAGCTGGCATTTGATAACACTCTCAATTTTTTGTGACACTAAAATGGATACTTTGCACTTTAAATCTGATGAACAAATAGTGCAGGTACTGCCCTGGCTGCAGGATGTGTGGGCCATGATTCTGCAATGTAAATTAGTATACAAGACTCGAGAAATTTGTTCAGCCCTACCAGCTGAGGATACTTTTAACAATAAAAACTTAAAAAGTGCCATCCTGTTAGTCTGTGAACTTGTCCAAGAAGCAGGCAGCGCTTTCTGGGCCTAAGGAAGACATCAAAGCCAGGCCTGTCTTGATTTTGCAAGGTAGAAGGGTATTGTTTTCGATTGGTGGGTTGTAAGGCTGCTGGCTTTAATGCAAAAGGTGTCGTGACTACAACAATCTGCCATACTCGCTTCTGAGTTCACCGGGACCCACAAAGCTTCTAAGTATGATCAGCCCACAGAATAGTGTGCCAGTTGCATGTCCAACCCTAAGTCACAGAGAAAGGATTTCTTTTGTTTTAAGGCTGAATGTGAACAATATCAATGAAAACAGTCAGTTTCAGCTCAATTTCTTTTTTACACAACTTGTACGTGAATCATCAAATCATCTTTTACAGGTAAAATGCAGAAGGCATTTTATACAGAGCATGAGGCATATGTCGTGTAATACATACAAATGACTAATAATAATTGTGTATATCTGAGAAGTTTTCCATGTGGGAAAGTCACTCAATATGTTATGATTATGAAACACTAAAAAAAATAGCCTTTGTTTTCATGAAAACGCCCTGTTGGTCAGAGTCCCTTCAAGATCATTACTTACTTAAGTTTGGCTCTGAAGTCTGATTGCTGGAACTGTAATCCAGCTCTTTACAGAGGATAATATGGTGACCAGTCAGCCTCTGGCATCATTTGCACAATAAATATAATCGTAAATATGTCTATGTAAAAATAGAAAATGGCACTGTGTATATGAAGAATTACTCAAGTATGATGCTGTTCTAGATTTATCCCAGCAAGCAGCATTCTGTCGAAACAAAAAGCAAACAAACAAACAAACAAAATCAGGTCTGTGAAGGCAAAAGTGCAGCGCTGCAGTATGTGGAGCCAATTTCCAGATCACGCTCTATTGTCTGAATTATTTAGAGCCTGAGCTGCTCCATCCTCTTTTAATTGCATGTGACATTTTCATGAGGTGTCCTTCTGCTGAGATACACACTGCTGCCGCTGCGGTAAACAGTAAATCTGAAACGACTGCATGAAACTGGTCCTAACAGTCTGTACTCGAGCAACTCAACTAAGCCTGGTTAATTTCATTTTCACTTCAGCGTGTTACGTCTGTGGACAGCAACAGTTTGGCTGCTGTAACAAGCAGCTCTAAAGGTGATGGAATCAGCTGCTTTTCTGAGACCGAATGATATTAAATCTGACAACACGCAACACAAAAGCATCTGTTATCTTATTTGAGTTCAGAAAATATGACTTTTACTGAGGCTCTGATATTTGCTGCTCCATGTTTTTGGTTATCTAATCTCTACAAAGTGATAGGATCAAATATTTCACACATATTATACATGTTATCATCGGGCAAAAAACCCCACAATACTTAAAATACAAAAAGCAAAGAAACAACAACACAGGAAGAGCAAGGGGACGTCCTGTTTTTGATTATGCGTGTCTGCTCTATCCTCACCATCCTTTCTCAAATCACCAGGTAGGTAGCCATCCAAAAGTAGCGGGATGCTTACTGCAAATAAGAAAAAAAGATATGAAAGACAAACACACAGTAAGCTGAGCTGCTTTAGGTCTTTGTGCTGCCAGCGGCTTCATACTGAGAAGCAATGGTGTTTCTGACTGGATTTAGAGTTCTTTTTGGATGCCTGCTCAGCGCACACTGCCAGCAGATACAGAGAAAAGCATTTCACTCAGGAATCATTCAGTCCTCCTCACACAGAGTCCATCTTTTAGCCTGCTGTGCTCCGCTTTGACAGAGAGGATCCCTCTGGCTCCGGATACACCACAGCTGCTGCTGCCGCGGTTATGTTTTTAGATTCGTCCTTCAAAATTTTATAGCACCAGCATCATGCCATGAAATTTAAATAACAGGATGCAGGGACTCCCTGATGGCTAAGCATGTCATGTAACTGCATCGTCCCCAGTCTGACTCTGGCTGGGGACTTTTGTTGCTTGTTGTAGCCTTTTCTCTTGTCCTATATGTCCTGTCTGCATCTCAACTGTGGTTCTATCCAAAAATGGCAAAAATGAAAACAGCCATGCATGAAAAACTAGACAAGCCTTTTTGAGAAGGACGCTGGAAACTATAAATATTTATGAGTGAGTACTCATAAGTACTTATAGAGTAGGTAGTACTTCTTCTGTGAAGACATTAGTGGCATGTGATACTGCATATTTTGGTATCAGTCAAATACCGAGTGTATATACTGTGATACTGACACAGACTCTTAGCCTCTAAAGGCAGCGTATGCAGGGGAGAGTAGCACATTTTTCATTTCCAAACAACAACAATAATTTAACATAATTCATTTGGCTACATCCTGAACTTGGGGAACAGAAACAAAGTATTGATCCTGTCACAGTAGTATCAATATGATACCAATACCAGCCTTGATATCAATACCTCGATCAATCTGCCCGCCTCTAGCAGACACATTGTTGGAATTGAGATAGGTGAGAGACGCAAGAGAATGTTGGTGTTCCAATTACAGCATAAAGAGAAATAAAGTTAGGTTATACTAACAGCAGGAATATTTCCAGGAATTTTTTAAGTTATGGCGAGCAAGGTAAGACCAAGAATGAGTAGGCATTGGACCAAACCACACCAAACTGTCTACTTTAATGCTTATAGTTTAGTAAAATGTGAAGTAGTCACCCAAAAACAGCTATAAACTAAGAAAATCACTGCATTTCAACCAAATCCCTGATTTTTTTTTTTAACATAATGAAGTCATTTTTAATGCCTAAATCTAAGCAGTTGATACATTTTGAATAAACAACATATTTTTAAAAAATGACAGTTAAAAATCTGTGATGTGTTTTAGTTGAATTGAGTATCGAGTATTGAGTACAGGAGTATCCCACAGACACATAGTACCTGCTAATATGTGCTAATTAACATAAAAATAAGATGCAATTTTACTCAAAAATGGAACATAGGCCAACTGGAGGGGCTAATGTGGCTGTAAACCACACAGCAAACCAGATTATTTGTCAGATAATTGTATTGAAAAAAATTCCCCAAAAGGCACAAACACAACAAACACTGCATGAGGTGGCTGAGATGACACCTAGCAGACGGCTGAGAGCCCATTTGACCTGCCTGTCAATGCAACCACGGCTATAGCAAACTATAATGCACGTCCTAACAAAATGAAGCAGGTAATTAAAAGAAAATCAACCCAGGTACATTTGTTATAACCAGAACAGGCTATAAAAGACAGCTTCTCCTGTAAATTTGTACACTGTACCAAAAATAGCTCAGAAAGGTTCAAATAAATTGAACGGCTCTATAAACCAAAACCTAAAGATATTACACCAGGGAGCTTAATAAAATAATACCCACAGATGGGCAGGATGGTTATGATCCATAGTCATTCACCACACCCACAGTCATTCTGATGACCTCTGTGGCAGCGGACGGACGAATGCGAATATGATCTTGATTTAAACTGAATTCAAATAGCAGCAGCGTTTCTGTTTCTCTCTGCGACTAAGATGGATGTGTGATCGACAGCTAACAGCTCAACATGCAGGCCACAGAAACATCTCTTTATGGTAAAATATCCAGGACTACGCTGGGTTTCATCCCCACACAGTGCAGTCCCTCCACATTTCCTCTTCTCTCTTAGATTAACG